GCTCGCAGGACAAGCGCTCCCGGCGCAGCGAGCCATTGGCTGAGCGGAGAATAAGAAAGCGGGGATGAGCGGAGGGTGCTTCAAGGTACCTCTCTGCGGCTTGGCCCCGGCACAAGGATTTATCCTGGCAGGGATTCCGGGTAGTCCTGGCTGAAGAGTGCTGGATGAAGTCTCTGGTGCCGCTGATGGGCGAGGTGAGGAAGCAGATGGGGGACAAGCCGGTGTACATCAGTTTCGATATCGATGGACTAGACCCTGCGTACGCCCCGGGCACTGGGACACCAGAGATAGCTGGGCTCACGCCTGCGCAGGTAAGGGGGACACGGCTTCGTTTCCCAGTGGGAAGGGGACGTTTTCGCTCCCGTTAAAAGAGGTCATGCCGCCAGCACGGCAAAGCAGAGGGTTAGGGAGACCAGGGAGCATTTCCCAGAGGGAATGAGGAAAGGAAACGTTGAGGTGATGTGATTTTGTTTAGGATGGGTTTCCTTAGCTGCGTGTGGGGAAGGCAGAGCTGGGCCCAGTCTGCTAGGCCAGATGTGGCTCTTGATCCCAAATGTTTTTTTTTCCCTAGGCTTTGGAGATTATCCGTGGCTGCAAAGGCCTGAACATAGTGGGTTGTGACCTCGTAGAAGTTGCACCAATGTACGATGTCTCCGGTGAGTCTAAAGATGGTTGAGAGCAAGTCACGCGCTTGGCAGAGGCGGCCAACTGCCCTGAGTGAAAGTGGATGTTGGGTATTCATGGCTTGTGGCTTTTATTTTTTTTTCACCTTTTTTTTGTCTTTTCTTAGGTAACACAGCCCTCCTGGGGGCAAACCTGCTGTTCGAGATGCTGTGCGTTCTCCCCAGAGTGAAGACAAAGTGAGGGCAGCTCCCACCTCAGCTGGGGCTTTCCGCGTCCCGTTCCCATCCGCTGGCTGCAGGGAACGTGGATTTCGCAGTAAGGAATAAATGCCATTTACCACTAGAAAAGGTAATTTTTAAGCTGATAAGCTGTAGGTAGCAGATGGGTTTGAAGAGCCCATTTAACTGGTGTCTGTAGCTTTTGAGTTTGCCGGGGAAAGGAAAAGATGAGGCTGATGGTGTTTCACAGCTGGAATTACTCACTGGGCTGACAGCAAAACTGTGACTGGTAAAAGGTTTCTCCCATTAAGAGGCAGCAGCAGGACAACGAACGTAAAGGGAGGGCAGTCGAAGGTGGCCTGGGGCTCGTTCTGAGCGTAGGGGCATATTTAACTGAATATCCCGCTGGGGATAACCGTAGGCATCTCTCCTAAGGCAGGAGTGGTTTAATCGCTCCTGGAATTTCTGAGCTGAGGCGAGGTTAGTTTGTACATGGAAACACGGAGCCACCTCATCACACATTAAAATAGTTTATTTTGGTTGCGAATCTGTCATCGTCTTAAAACAAAATGACATCAGTGCCTGTTCACAAATACAAAAAAAACCCAAAACAAAACAAAAACCAAAAATAAAAAAGACAAGTTTGCCAAATAAGTTAGTTTCCCCCCCCAGCCCCAGTATCAAAAGTGCAAAATATGTTCCTAGTTTTCAGTCCTACTTCTCAGGCTGCGTTAGGGTACTGGTTCCTGGCAGGCTTTCGGTGAATGGCAGAGGAGTTTTGTTACAACCTGTAGACGTGGGGGGCCTGGATCCCTTTGCTTCAGCATCTGAGCAGCGTGCGCTTGCTCGGGTTTCACTAGAATAGCGCACTAGGACTGAAATTCCTCAATCTTTGGATTATGAACCACCACGCGCAGAACTGAATCACAAGTGCGTTTCGCTGGTGATAACATTACGATATGGGTTAGAAAATTATCAGGGGGTGATGGCTCGCGACTGCTGGGAGAGGGCGGACGGCTCTTGGGCGTAAGCAGCCTCTGACCACGCTCTTCTACAAGAAAGCAAGGGCCCAGTGCTCCGTGACGGACAATAAACCTGAGTGGTTTAGCACAGTTTGGCATTTGCTTCAGCCCACGAAAGACGTTTTCCCATAAAACAGCGACACGAGCTGAGCTAGCCTGACCCGGTTAAAAGCGGTGAAGGGCAGAGTTACAGCGGAACAGGCACCGCTTTCCCGTCCAGCCACAGCCAGCCAGGGTGGACTGCTGCAAGCACTCCTTAAACAGAACTCGGTTTAAAAGGGGAGGTTACCTGTGCTAAAAGGAAAGTAAGAAGGGGATTCCAGCAGGCGTGCAGCACGTGAACTGTATTTTGAAGGCCATCAGGCCTTACTTTCTTACTCGGGGCAGGGCTGAATTCCCTTGCTGTAGCACAACTAGGCACTTTTTCTTTTCACGTCAAGGGTTTTCTCCTGGTTTCCGACTAGCTGGAGAGACAGCAGAGAGCCAGGAAGTATTCTTTTTTGCCCTGGCAAACATTTAAAAAATTATGCGGAGCCCTCCACTGGGCTGCAACCTTATTCTAGCCACATCCCGCACGGCAGGCTGTGGGAGAAAGCACAAGAGCACGACAGCAATTGCTCCAGCCAAGTGAAAATGAAGCCCTAGCAGCATCAGGCCAGCATTCCCGCTGTGTTTCAGCAGTACGCGTGCGCCTTGGAGCTCTTTGGCAGGGAGAAGACCTTGCTCTCCCTCCTTCCTTCCCTCCTTCTACTTTAGTGCCTCGTTCGTGCAGCAGCACAAGCTCGGAGTCTGCTGAGCTAACATTAAGTAGCCTCACGTAAGGTCAGTTGGTAGCAGCGTAGCCTTTATTTGGAAGTACGTTATACAGGGTGTTTGAGATGCCTGTGGCGGTCAGAGCGTGCCAGTCTGCTCCCAGGGAGGGAGGAATGAGGAATGCAGCAAGCCAAGGGCTTGTGAGCAATTGGGTCACATAGGCAGTAAAATGACTTTGAGCATTCCCGGATTTTGTCTGAGATCGGCAGCTAGCTCAGAGACTGGCAGAGTTATTCCCACTAACTGGCTGCTCCGCTCGGATGGTAACTAAGGCGGCAAGGGCCGAGTGAGCTTTGAATTAGCACCACGTGCTTGACCAAACGCTCTGCCGTCAGGTTCAGAGCCCAATGGCAAAAGCCGCCCCGTGCTTCGGCAGCACTGTAGCCAGCAGCGACTCGGGACCATGGGGGCTTGGGGCCAGTGCAGAGTGGCTGGCAGAGGCGCAGCAAGTACCGGCCCGGGCAACGGTGTCTGCCCCGGAGCAGCGAAAAGGAAGAACAAGGCCCACAGGATTTCAGTCCCAGCCACGAAGAGAAACCCTGCTACTTTGCTTTCTGGCCGCTCGCCTTCCCTCCGCCTTACAAAGGGCGGCCCGCTCCCCCTGTGGCGTTGAAAGTGGCTGTCGGAGCACGGCTAGAGCAAAGCGTAAACCAAACCCTGCGCTTTAGGACTGTTCTAGCTTCGCACAGACCCGCAAGCTCAAAAAGACAAAAAAAAACCCACCCCAAACCAACGCAAACAAACCAAAACCCGAGGCAGCAGCCTGCATGTTGAGAAACAAAGGTTTGTGGCAAGAAGGAAACAGGCGGGAAGCTGAAACCAAGCATCTTAAACCGACGCCTAAACCAACGGGAGTTTCACGCGTAAGCGACGGTCTGATGACACAGCACTTCTGGGGCAACAGTTCAAGAATACAATCATTGAAGAATTAGGTTCCTTGATACAAAGAAAGGTTGGTTTGTACTACAGACATAAGGGTGTTCGAGAGGAGCCCGGACTGACTCCCTAGCAGCTAGGTAGAATTTCTTTTACACATCTACTGGCTCGTAGCAGCTCACACCTACAATCTGAGGACACAAAGTTATGGCTCTAGGATACATTGTCTAAAATCGACAGAAGCAGAAAGGCATCTGGGGGAAAAAAAAATAAAAATCAATGTGACATTTAAATGGCTCAACACCTCGATAGTATTTACGGCCGTGCAAAAACCCCCTTCCCTCCCTGGTTGTGGTTTAGCCGGGGAAGCTGCACGTGGAACTATGACAGGAGGAGCAGGAAACATGCAGATCACCTACTAGCCCGCACCACAGGTGAGTCCCAGCTACAGGTTCGCTACGAGGGAGACGCTCCCACCCGTACTCTAGATCACTTACCCCGGGGAAAGCTGATAAGCACAACTGCTTGGTGGGAGAAGGCCTTTCGGAAGGGCAGGGTCTCGCCAGTGTTACACCATGCACCACGGGCTAAGCACAGGGGGAAGGGGAGAGAGAACAACGACCCGACCTGCGTCACCGGCCGCGTTCGGGCCGGATGGAGTCACCGCGGCAGAAGTCACGGGGTTTCTCTTCAAACTGGGGTAAAAGGAGAGATGGAACAGGGAGGGGGCAACTCGGGAAGTGGATGCGGCAGGGCAAGAAGGGAAAAAAACGGACTTCTTGGCTCTTCAGTAGTACGGCATCCAAATGCACGAAGGAGTCGGCGGAGGGAATTTTGGCGCGCTTGGCTGCGCTCCGAGGCTCCGGGCACGGGGAGGTACTGTCTAGTCGCCGGCCCTAGGGAAAGTTCATCTAAAACCTAAGGTCCATTCGTCACGCTTGTTTGTATGTTCCTGGAAAGAGCTGTCCCTTGTCATCTTCATAAAAAGTTTGTCCGTTGTTAGAATCCCTTTAAAAACCCTCAGTCTAGCGCGGGCCACGAGGGGATATAGAACCTCTGTAAGGAACCCTCTAGGAGGCGTTCCATCCAGAAGGATAATTTGTGTAATTTGTTTTTAATGGATCTAGATCCCGGGCTGCAGGAGGATTTCCCTCTGGCTTCCGTGTGTAGTGAGGAATCGTAGTCCTCGCCCGATGCCAGGGTTCCTCCCTCATCACCCGATCTGTGAGGCTTAAAGAGGCAGAAGTATTTCTTGTGGCCGTTCAGAGCCAGGACGTAGCCTGTGTAGTCGCGCTCGAGGAAATGCTTGTCATACTGGTTCGGGATGGGGGCCGCATCCTGCGCGAACTCTAACAGGTACTCGAGCCATTCTCGATGCTTGTCCAGGCTGAGGAAGGAGAAATGAAGAGAGCTGCTCCTGCGGGATGAGCAGAGGACAATCAGGATTAGCACGTCTCCCGCCTCAGGCCGGATTCCTACCGGACAGGTAAGCATTTGTAAACAAGGGCAGGTGCGGAGCTGTGGCGCCACGGCTCCTTTCTTAACCCAGTTCGGCACAGGCGACAATTACCTGGCGCGCAGCACTATCATGCTCTCAGTTCATTGAAACGCGGGTACAACCAAAGCGGCAGCAGTGCCAGACCTGTCTGGCCGCCTTTACCGGCCAGGGCGGGAAAGGCCCCTCGGTTTTTGGCGGCTCACTGTGCACAGAGGCTGCTTTGCTCGCCAGAAGCGTTCCCTCCTGGCAATCGAGCCGACACCGCTCCTAACCTCCCATCGGAGCCGTAACGTTAAAGCAGTAACAGAAGGGAGAGGGCCCCGGCCTACCCTGTGAACGTGTAGACTTCCAGGGCAAACTTCTGGAGGAGGAGGGTTTTGGTCGAGTTGGACAGGATCAAGACGACGTTCATGTGTCCCGGCCTCAGGCGTACCAAGTTGCTGTTATAGTTGATGTCCGTCAGCTCGGTCACCTCGACGAAGCCCTTTTTGGGAATCCTGCTGCAATGAAACGGTGACTGAGTGAAAGGGGAACAAAGGGCCGGGAGCGACTGAGGATGGAGAGAAACCATGAGGTCGTTCTCCGCCCCCTTATGCCGATCCGTCCCTGCGTCCCATAGCTAAAGCCAGTCTAATTGGCACAACGGCTGGGCTTGCGTCTTCCTCGCCGAGTCAGTCAGGCCTTTGCCTTTCCCCCGAGGATGTTGTCTGGGGCAAACTCAGCGGGAATCACTTAACAATAATTCAGTTTGCGCACCCCTGTCCTGCTGGCCCGGGTCCTGGCTAACCACTGCTCCTACTCCCCTCACTGTGCCCGCGCTGCCCCTCG